TTCTTCTAAACAATCATCACGTTTTCTCTCCCGTAATCCCTGGAATGGCTCTTGGTCTTGGTCTAGCCGTATCAGCTATTTAGGCATCTTCTAAACAATCATCACGTCTTCTAGCCCTTGATCCCTGAAATGACTCTTGGTCTTGGCCTAGCCGTATCAGCTGTTTAAGTTTCTTCTAAACAATCATCACGTTTTCTCTCCCGTAATCCCTGGAATGGTTCTTGTTCTTGTTCTAGCCACATCAGCTATTTAGGCATCTTCTAAACAATCATCGCGTTTTCTCACCCGTGATCCCTGGAATTATGGATCTTGGTCTTGGTCTGGCCGCATCAGCTGTTTAGGCTTCTTCTAACCAATCATCACGTCTTTTCGCCCGTGACCCCTGGAATGGCTCATGGACCTCCGATCACTTTGCTTTTGTCCCTTTGAATTATTTCCTTCAGAAGCGAAGCGCTCACTTCGGTTGGCATTGCAGGGAACACCGGGACTGCATAACTGAAAAGGAATTCCTCCACTTGGGCGAATTGCGTGAGGATAATCACAATTGACCGAGTACCGAGAGCCTATCTCTTTCACGTTGCGAAACAAAGAGGAGTCACGTGCTCTATCGGTCGGTTGTTGGATCGATACGAAGTAATCAGGTGTTTGGTTACGTCGCCGATCGTGACGAGCAATCCTTGCTATCGCCGATCTCAAGGAAGTGAAAACGACGCCGTGGTTCACTTTAAGGTGGTATGAAAGTATCATATGAGCCGGTTTTTTTTTAAGCGGTATATATACATGTAGACGTCAAAGTGTCATTCTACATATATATATATATGTAGAATGAACCTTTTATATCACCTTAAAGTGAAGTGAAACCCCCCTAAAATCAGTCGATTCGAAAAAGACACTTTTTTTTAAGGGTATGGGATTTGGGAACGATCGACGTCGGTAAAAAAGATTTTTCTAAATACCCACCTGGCCCAGATTCTATATATCAAAATGTATATATAAAAAAAGAGTGAAATAAGGTACCGATTCGATCCTTTCATATCACCTATACCATTTGCATCATAAGGAAACATGAAAAAGAGGGCCCTTATCACCAAATTTCAGGCTGAATGATAGGGACCAGTAAAATTGAGCCTATATATACGATCCGGTGATAGTGACCAGAAAAACTGAGCGTATGTATATAGTAATGATGCAAATGGGTTAAAGAGTGAAATAAGGTATTGATTCGAGAAAGTTCATTTTTACGCGTTATTATTCCCCTCTTCTCGCGATCTTTCTTCTCCGTCTTGTTTGGAAGATCATGTGACGACGAACGTATGCAAATCGTAAGATATTCGAGAAGAGCACGTCCGGTCGCCGTGAATCATCGAGAAGGGTATTAAATCAACGAAACGTAGCGTTGCCATTACGTTTCCGCAACGAAATTACATATTGCGAACGATGACGATAATTGACTGCAGAGGAACCCCTGGCGCTATCTGTGATTTCCAGGTCAATTAAATTTTCACTCCGAGACCTCGTATTCCCATCGTTTTAGCATAGAAACGTATAAAACACTTTTTTTGCCTTTATCCCGTTAAAATGCGAGTTTATCGATTACCAGAGTGTTCTAAATTGTCGTAAAATTGTCCTAACCCTTTCGTTTCTCATATCTCGTAATTATATATGGATCGAAATATGAGAGCTCGTCGCCATTTTGGTTCTGGTCTGGGCCAAGTTAGAAAATTTTTTCCAAAAATCCAAATGTTGAGTGTGTCAGGACAATTCTTAGATGATCAGGAGTAATGTGTCAAAGTTTCGGACAGTTTGGTCTAATACCCTTAAAAAAAGGGTTGCATTCGAATCGACTGATTTGAAGGGGGTTTCACTTCACCTTAAGTACATTTTTTTAATTTGTTATATAAAACCCGGGATTTGTTCGCCGATCCTTCACATACATGCGTCTGATATGTCATGTCATATCATTCGCTTCACCTTATAATATATATATATATGTATTGTATGACCCTTTCATATCCCCTTAAGTACATNATTTAATGATCCTTTCATATCCCCTTAAGTATATTTTTTTAATTTGTTACATAAAACCCGGAATTTGTTCGCCGATCCTTCACATACATGCGTCTTATATGTACTGCTTGCTTATATCTTCTGGGAACTAGAACGAAAGAGAATATTGTCACTAGGCTTCCACGTGATCCATTAGTGTCATTGATATAGTTTTTATTTAGTACATTGGTGACGGCTCTCGATAACGATTCCTTCACACCAGTGAAATTTGCTGAGTGATGAATTCCGCGATCCTGACCTTTGAACGATGCTTTTTCGAAATTAATCTTACGCATTCGTTTTTCCCCCCTCGAATCGAGATACGCAAATTTCAAGGTTATCTCAATTCTATCCGCAGCTACGTCATGCAGTTTAGGGGGAGCGCCACTGTGGCGGTCGGAAAAATAACCGAATTTTTTTCAATGGTTTAATTAATTATTAAAGGTATGGGGCTGTTGTTATTTTATTAAGCATACATTTAACTTGTTTAATATAAATTTTTATTCAACAATTTTTAAAATTCACAATGATCTGGACCTAAACTTAACCATAGGAAAAAAAATTCCCCGTCCGTTGTCCCAGGGGTTTCGTGGTGAAGGGTTACCTGAAAACAAAAATTTTTTTAATATCTATATGAATGTAGCTATAGTGCTGCGTAGCCGATTTTTTTAAATTTTGATAATTACTATTTTTCCGAGCTGCTTGAATAGAAAGAAAAAGGCCAAAATAATGAAAAAAAAAATTCAATCCGTCGGCATTTTGCGAAAAATTAAAAAAATAAATACATTCGTATAGATATTANAAATAAAGTCAATTGGTTATAATATTAAATTAAGCCAATTGGTCATAATATGAAATAAAGTCAGTTGGTCATAATATTAAATAAAGTCAATTGGTTATAATATTAAATTAAGCCAATTGGTCATAATATGAAATAAAGTCAGTTGGTCATAATATTAAATAAAGTCAGTTGGTCATAATATTAAATAATGTCAATTGGTCATAATATTAAATAAAGTCAATTGATGATAATATTAAATAGTCAATTGATCATGGGTACCGAACATTCGATTGTTTAAGTTATAGTCATACTCTATGGTTGGACGAAGAAGAGTTTTATCGATTAAATCGAATATTTTTCTGCCGTATCACACTGAAGAATTTCAGAATGGATTTTGAACGTCTCGATAATTCTGGAGAATTTCTGGGATAAGTTTGCGTTTGATTACAGTGGTCGGGTCGATGTTTCGATCAGCAAGCACGAACGGGAGAAAAAAAAACGAAACAATGCTCGTGCTTCGAGAAGCCGTGAGTCCCGATTAAGATGAGGCAAATTAAATTCAATTATTGTTAACATTATTTTTTTTCTGACGCAAATTCGTTGTATCGTTTCGCCTTTATCACTCGGGGATTAATAGGAGGCAAATTAAATTAAATTATTGTTAACATTATTCTTCCTGTCGAAAATTCGTTGTATCGCCTCGTCTTTATCTCTCAGGGATTAAGAGGAGACAAATTGAATTCAATTGTTGTTAACATTAATTTTGTAACGCAAATTCATTGTATCGCTTCGCCTTTATCTCTCGGGGATTAAGAGGAAGCAAATTTAATTCAATTACTGTTAACATTATTTTCTCTGACGCAAATTTGTTGTATTGCCTCGCCTATATGTCTCAGGGATTAAGAGGAGGCAAATTAAATTCAATTGTTGTTAACATTATTCTTCTTCTCGAAAATTCGTTGTATTGTTTCGCCATTATCTCTCGGGGATTAAAAGGAAACAAATTAAATTCAATTATTGTTAACACTGTTCTTTCTATCGGAAATTCGTTGTATTGCTTCGTCTTTATCTCTCGGGGATTAAGAGGAGGAAAATTAAATTCAATTGTTGTTAACATTATTCTTCCCGTCGCAAATTCGTTGTATCGCTTCGTCTTTATCTCTCAGGGATTAAGAGGAGGCAAATTGAATTCAATTGTTGTTAACATTATTTTTGTAACGCAAATTCGTTGTATCTCTTCGTCTTTATCTCCCGGAGACCTGACTGTAAAACGTGGAGAAATATATCGCGAGGTGTGTTGCACAACCTAGAGAAAGGCTGCCAATTTTGAAGCAGTTATTAACCCACCGGAAATCACGTATCGAAGTTGCCAGCAAATGCCAAATACCGGCATAAAATCGCGCTGATATTCAATTATTTAAGGTGATATGAAAGGGTCATTCTATGTATATGAAACATCAAGATATTTTATTTCAACTTATCTCCGAACTGGATTCACCGAATCATTTGAAACTTCAGCACGTGATCCTGAAGGTCCTAAGAAAGAACGGAATGCTTGTAAAATTTCATTTTTCAGTAAAAAAATATTTTTTCTTTTATTTACCCTAGAGTAGAACCAAGATCACATTATAGGGCGAAAAATGAAATTTCACGAGCATCGCGTTCTTCTTTAATTCATAATCTCCATAATCTCGTGATGAAGTTTCAAATGATTCGATGTACCCAATTTGAAGATCAATTTTATATAAATACTTTGACGTTTCATGTATATAGTGTGATTCTTTCATATCACCTTAAGGTGATGTGAAAGTGGCGTCGAAGAGGTTTTGTTTATAAAACATTTCTCCCAATCTGATTTACCAAATAGTTTGAAACTTTACAACGTGAATAGGAAGACTATAAGGAAGGTCCTGAAACTCATGAAATTTCAATTCTTTTCAATTTTGTTTATAGGTATTTTAAAAATAGTTTATAAAAAATGAAATTTATGGGCTCCATATTCACGTTTTAAAATATGAAACGATTTGAGACTCCCAGTTCTATGAAAAGTTTTATGAAGGATTGATCTGTCGCATGCCACTTTCACATCCCCTTAAGGGAATGGTCACGGGGATGAAGGTCCATTTTCATGGCGGCTGTCGGTAACAGGAGGCCATTCCTTTTTGCTTTCCAGCTCGGAAGATGATGCCAAAGAACTCCAAGGCCGGGAGAAGTTGATGCAGGACTTAGGGCATTTATAACGCGGCTTAGGGTTTCATTTGGCGCATGAAATTCGAGGTGATTCGGACACTGTGCTCCTCGGACTAACACAATGGATCCCTATTCCCTGAGGTGAGTCTTGTTTATAAATATTTATATGCACCACCGGGAGGGAGAAAACAATCATCTACGTTCTACGGAAGGAATTTAATTGCCCTCTTCAAGTTGCACATTTTTCTTTTTTTTTTTCAATTGCACCTTTATGCATTAATGTTAATTTTCGAGTCACTTAAACTTTAATATACGGAACTTTGATTCCCCTACAATTTGTTTCCGAGGTGAAGTTTCTTGCGGCACGGTATTACCGGTGAAACGGAAAGTGAAACGCCCCTGAAATCAGTCGATTCGAATAGGACACTTTATTCTAAAGGCATTGGATAGAACCGTCTGAAACTTAGGAATTATCCTGACAGTTTCAAAATTTGGATTTTTCCACAAGATTTTTTTAACTCAGCCCAGACCAGAACGAAAATGGCGTCGAGCTCTCATATTTTGATCGATTTACAATTATTAAAGGCTCCAATATGAGAATACGCTCGGGTGATATGTGGCTCGTTGGTCACGTGGCGGGAGTGATCAGCTGACTTTGACGTTTCGGCTAGCCGAGCGTGGCATACGCGACTTGTAAATTCCGATTTACCGTTTCCTGCCGTAATTAATCTTGCGACTAATTTGTTCCGTTTTGATATCATAATTTGTTTAATTTTGATATGTGGCTCGTTGGTCACGTGGCGGGAGTGATCAGCTGACTTTGACGTTTCGGCTAGCCGAGCGTGGCATACGCGACTTGTAAATTCCGATTTACCGTTTCCTGCCGTAATTAATCTTGCGACTAATTTGTTCCGTTTTGATATCATAATTTGTTTAGTTTTGATATGTGGCTCGTTGGTCACGTGGCGGAAGCGATCAGCTGACTTTGACGTTTCTGCTCGCCAAGCGTGGCATATGCGACTCGTAAATTGCGTTTTACCGTTTTCTGCCGTAATTAATCTTGCGGCTAATTTGTTCAGTTTTTATATCATAATTTGTTTAATTTTTATATGTGGCTCGTTGGTCACGTGGTGGGAGCGATCAGCTGACTTTGACGTTTCTGCTAGCCGAGCGTGATATATGCGACTTGTAAATTCCGTTTTATCGTTTCCTGTCGTATTTAATCTCGTTGCTAATTTGTTCGGCCACTACGACGAATAATAACAATCTTGCATATCGACCAAACATTTGGTTGGCATGACAAAATTCATTGGTTAATAGCCTTTGGTTGTGATTACGTTAAGGTGAAGTGAAATGCCCCTGAAATCAATCGATTTTAATAAGACCCTTTCTTTTACGGGTATTGGATAGAATCATCTGAAACTGACACATGACTCGTGAGCACCTAGGAATTATCCTGACACTTTCAAAATTTAGATTATTCAAACAAATTATTTTAACTTTCCCCAGACCAGAGCCAAAATGGCCTTAGTCATTATTTCGATCGATATATAATTATCGAAGGCTCTAATATGTGCCCATAATTATGAAAGTGGTCTAAGTCAAAATTAAAAAAAAAAAATGAGTTTATCAGTTATTCCACGCCATATTATTTCAAACAAAATTAATTCAACGTAATTTCGAAACAAAAAATATATGACTTAGACCACTTTCATAATTATGGGCACATATGAGAAACGAAGGGGTCAGGACAATTGTACGACAATTTAGAACACTCTGGTAATCGAGAAACTCGCATTTGAACGGAATAAAGGCAAAAAAAGTGTCTTGTGCGCTTCTATGGTAAAACAATGGGAATACGAGGTCTCGGAATGAAAATTTAGTTGACACGGAAATCAGTAGATGGCGCGAGGGGTCCCTCTGCAGTCAATTAGGGCCTCAGAAATCATGAATCCAGGGGATTTCTGGAATTTTACTTCAATTTCTTTGTAATTATTGCACGATAACGATAGGTACAATACACAATATAATTCCATACAGTTGATACTAAGAAGTTTAACGAAATTAGTATCAATTGAGCCGGTCAACATTCAGAAGATTAAAATCTAATGCATGGACTACAATATTACTAGGAAGACCATAAAGAAAAAGTTACACAAAAGCCTTATACATAATGAACATCATTGTTAAAAAAAAAATAAAGTAGGAGATATTCTGTGATAATGGAACCGACGGCTTGTCTGCTAATGGCTTGACGTAATGAAATTTGCATAATACATTCTGGCTTTAGCGCTTTGTGATTTGTCATTGTTTCACTTGAAGAACTTAGAAAGAAGTAAAAAACACGATTCGGTTCATTAAGTATTTCCAGTGAGCATCTTTTATAAGAAATAGAAGATTTAGAATGATAAATAAACGATCAGCTGATCTGGGAATGTATGACAAGAGAATTTCCAGTTCCGCTTATCAGTCACTCGTTATATTNATTAGAGTACAGTTTCATTTAATCAGGAAGACAAAACAAGGCAATCTATATTAGTTAATTAAGCATTATCTCTTTGAGAACGTGTTTAATTAAATCAATTAATTTCTTCCTAGGGTTGGCGACGACATATTATGTTTTAATCGTGGATGAGTCAGTCAATGTCAATGTGATAAAAAAGTACGTCAACCCAGGCTATAGTCTGGAATGTTTGCACAGTAATGTATAAATAAAAAAAAAGAAAAGGAACTAAAGGCTTCGTTTGATAAAAAATAGATTTAGCATGATATCGAAACTGATCGCTAATACGCGAATATGCTACGTGGATGTGTGAATAAATGCATAATTTGCATGTCGATTGTTCTCATTTCATTCATACATATATAAATGTATATGATGAAAATGAATTAGTTAATTAAGCATTTGTTACTCGGGAACACGTTTAATAAAGCCTGTCGATTTTTATTGGGTTTAGTAATGTAAATTAGTTACGAAATTTAAATGACAGGTTAAAAAATGTTTAAAAAGAAAAACGATGTGTATAATAACAATTAGTTAATTAATCATTAGTTGCTGGAGGACACGTTCAATAAACCCTGTTAATTTTTATCTGGGTTTAGTAATGTAAATTAGTTACGAAATTTAAATGACGGGTTAAAAAAATACGTCCGAGCTGAACGGGAGGTTTGAAATGTTATAAAAATGTATAAAAAGAAAATGACGTGTATAATAATCAGTAATTAATTAAGCTTTAGTTCCCCAGAAGACGTTTAATAAAGCCTGTCGATTTTTATTGGGTTTAGTAATGTAAATTAGTTACGAAATTTAAATGACGAGTTAAAAAAAATTCGTCTGAACTGAACGTGAGGCTTGAAATGTTATAAAAATGTATAAAAATAAAAATGACGTGTATAATAACAATTAGTTAATTAAGCTTTAGCTGCTCGAGAACACGTTTAATAAAGCCTGTCGATTTTTATTGGGTTTAGTAATGTAAATTAGTTAGGAAATTTAAATGACGGGTTAAAAAAATACGTCCAAGCTGAACGTGAGGCTTGAAATGTTATAAAAACTTATAAAAAGAAAAAGTGATGGACATGTTCCGAGAGGACTCATACTTTGCGTGACGTCAACGACGACGGCCTGTCTACCAATTCCTATTGGCCGTGCGTCACGTAACCCGACAAACACGCCGATCAAAGTGCGGACCTCGGCCTTTTTATTTTTAATCCCCTTATTAGGAGCAAAAATGCAATCTAAACCGTTGCTACATCACCAACGATTTAGCGGATATCGCCAGGGCCTATTATTTATACAGAATGACTTCCCTCTGATGGTCTCAAAAAAAAAAAAACAATTGAAATCCGGCGCTTCGCAAACATTCCATAACTTGAAAAACGGATATCTTTGAAAAGTTCATTTGACGATGTTTAAAAGAAGTCGGTGATTTGCTTCTTTAGGGACGTCGAGGAACTTGATCGACGTCGGTAAAGAAGATTTTGTCTAAATACCTAAGTATAATAGTTGCCACGCTCGGCGAGCAGAAACGTCAAAATCAGCTGATCGCTCCCCCCACGTGACCAACGAGCCATGTATCAAAACTTAACAAATTATTATACAAAAACTGAACAAATTAGCCGCAGGATTAGTTACGGTAGGAAACGTTAAAACGGAATTTACGAGCGCGTATGCCACGCTCGGCGAGCAGAAACGTCAAAATCAGCTGATCGCTCCCCCCACGTGACCAACGAGCCATATATCAAAACTAAACAAATTATGGTATTAAAATTGAACAATTTATGATATCAAAATTGAACAATTTATGATATCAAAATTGAACAATTTATGATATCAAAATTGAACAAATTATGATATCAAAATTGAACAAATTATGTAATCAAAATTGAACAAACTGATATCAAAATTGAACAAATTATGATATCAAAACTGAACAAATTATGGTATCAAAATCGAACAAATTATGATTTCAAAACTGAACAAATTAGCCGCAAGGTTAATTACGGCAGGAAACGTTAAAACAGAATTTACGAGTCGCGTATGCCACGCTCGGCTAGCAGAAACGTCAAAATCAGCTGATCGCTCCCCCCACGTGGCCAACGAGCCATATATCACCCGGGCGTCAATGTCTTGCTTTTTACCGTCAAATTGGGAGATTATATTCTCATTTTACGCACTTCAAAGGCTGATGCAGTCGCTTCCTGGAATGAATAATTGTTGGCAGAGTGGCCAATTGTCCGGCGACCAATACACAGCTTCTTTTTAACGCAAATCGCGTGAAACGGAAGTACGCTCCGAGCGTCGTCATGAATATTCGCTGCAATCATGTCACTGGTGGCAATTATTGTTTCTTTATCCTTGTACACATTTCGTTCCTGTACATACTCTGTTAATCGTCCTGGTGGGTCGTCGCAATTGCGGCATCCTAATTGTTCGAATTTAAAGTGATATGAAAGGGTTATTCCATACATATGAAACGTCAAAATATTTATAAAACTTCAGCCTGCGATTATGGAGGCCCTGAGGAAGAATTCAATGCTCGTGAAATTTCATTATTAACAAAAAAAAAATTGTTTCTTATTATGTTATAATTGTTTTTGTGTGAAAAATGAAATTTCACGAGCATCGCGTTCTTCCTTAG